GGACCAATAAACCGAGGGGATAACTTCCCACTCTTCCCGAACCTCATCAAACCTCGCCTAGGTGATATTTTCAAGAAGACATGATCACCTACCTCAAACGCCAAAGGCCTCCTCCTACGGTCAGCATAAGATTTCTGACGACTCTAGGCTGTAACAAGTATGACATATCCAATTGATTAGTTTTAGTTTGCCTAATCATCATGCATTGTCTACAACAATCAAAACTACCTTCCACCGGTAGCCCAAGCCATTATTTCTAAACAGATAATAAAAGCTCCAACAGATAAAATATCAATGTTTTCAAAAGTGAGCGATTTATAAATCCAACTCCATCATTTCACAATATAATGAGCCAATTTCATTATTTCCAACTCAATTCCATAAATTCACAATTTCCCCAAATTAGGGTTTTCTACCCCATTTCTCAATATTGACCCAATGGTCTAAATATCAACAACCAACATCAATAACACCATTTGAAACCCAAAAATACATATTATGAGCCCAAAATCACAAAACCCTCTTTAACACATTTTGAAACCCTAAGTCCCAAAATTTCCCAAATTCAACACTTTATCAAAACAACTAAAAATCTAGGTTAAAGACCATAAAAGTGAGTATGAATCCCTACCTCAAAGATGAGACCCAAAGAAGAAGATGGTGAAAACAAAGTTGCTCCAAACCACGAATTTCTCGGATCAAAAGATAGCCCTCAACGATCAACAACCTTCTTGTAAAGGCCAAAGGTGAGGAAAACACCCTAGCTAGATCAATATATAGAGAGAAGGCAAGGTTTTAGAGAGAGAGGCTCTCAAATGGCCTTTTCGGAAAAGTAAGAGAGAGAAAGGATGAGAAAAAGTGATTTAAAACCGCCTCACAGCCAACTGATATACGACATTCTCGCTCGAGCGGCAAACACAACGCTCGAGCGTCAAGAACAAATACTAGGTCCGCTCGAGCGCAAAAGGACCCGCTCGAGCTCCAAGACACAAGAATAAAGTAAACCCGCTCGAGCGCGAAAACCAATCCGCTCGAGCGTAGATTTCCTGCTTCCAGAGCTTACACCCAAAGGTACCACCCGCTCGAGCGCCAAAGTACCCGCTCGAGCGTAAAGAAACCCGCTCGAGCGTAAAAATCACACCTGCAGAAGTTTTGCAGGGACACGAAAAACTGGGAGTGTGCAATATCCGCTCGAGCGCAAAAGGACCCGCTCGAACGGAACGACCAAAAACCCGGCAACAAGATTTCAGACCAAGGTTCAACCCACCTGTTCGAAACAAGCCCAACACATCCTATAACTCAAACAAACGGAATTTAAGGATGACAACAAGATAGATACAACTACCAACTTCACAGAACCGAGTCCGGAATACAACAGAACAGTAAAGGAACAACCGGGATCGCTATATTGACCATCACAAAATTTTATAACTAAATGCCACAAATCATTAGAATTATGGTTGGAAAGGTTTGTTTTGGGTTGCCTATTTTGCCATTTTTTTTTTAATTTCTGTTTTACTATATTAATCTAGACAGCTCTTCTTTTTTTTTTTATTTCTGGTCTGGGTTAGACAGTTTTTAAACCCATAATTTGTTGTCATATTTTTTTTTTCATCTTATTTTTTGTTCATCTTTTTCATCTTATAGAATTACCTGATAAGTCATGTATTGCAAGTGTTTAATAGAATGACCCAATAAGTTTTCTTTATATAGGCACACAACTAGAACCCATTTCCTAAACACGTGTTCAGGAAATAAACCAATCATGTTTTTTTTGTTTTGTTTTTTTATTTTTTGGTGTGAGTTTACTGGACTCAAATCAATTATGATCATTACACATGTGTTTGATAGAATGATCAACAAATCGGACATTTTTGGGGATTAATCTATACAGTTTTTTGTTGTGGTAGGGAAGATTTGTTTTGGGTTGCCTATTTTTTCATTCTTTTTTTTTTAATTTCTTTTTTACCATATTAATCTGGACAACTCTGTTTATTTATTTATTTGTTTATTTATTTATTTATTTATTTCTGTTCTGGGTTAGACAGTTTTTAAACCCTTAATTTGTTGTCATTTTTTTTTTCATCTTATTTTTTGTTCATTTTTTTCATCTTATAGAATGACCCAATAAGTTTTCTTTATATACCATTTCCTGAACACGTGTTCAGGAAATAAACCAATCATGTTTTTTTGTTTTGATTTTTTATTTTTTGGTGTGAGTTTACTGGACTCAAATCAATTATGATCATTACACGCGTTTGATAGAATGACCCAACAAGTCATTTATTGCAAATGTTTGATAGAATAACCCAATAAGTCATATTAAATTTATATACACCTCAAAAGCTTTTTAACGATATGCATCCAAAGTTTTAATCATATTAGCTTATAATCTTAAAAAAATATCATAAATCCTCATACCTAAGGCCACTTAAATTTATAATTAAACATCACAAAATTTCATAACCAAAACCACCATGGGTTATAACCATAAACACTACAAAAAGTCTAATAACCAAGTTCATCATAAACACCATGTGTATCAAAGAATTTTTCAACGTTTATTTTAATTAACTCTTAAAAATTATTTGTGATATAGTAAGTTTTCAGCTTGGAAAACAGAGTCTTTTGACAGGGCATTCAACATTAAACTTGTAGTTCTGAATGTAAGTTTAATATTTCTTTTGTTTATTTTCTATTTTTGTTGGTAATCAAGTTATCGATAAATCAAGGTGAACTTGTTTTGCATCTCATGAAGAATTATTCATTGCTCATATAGTAAATGTTTTCTTTATTTTGATCTTATTTTGCTCTCATGTTTATTTTTCCTTTTGATCTTATTTTGCTCTTATGTTTTATATATTCACTATTGTATTTTTATCTTCATTTCATTTTTATTTTAGCCACTTGATTTTTTATTTAAAAAAATTCCCCCTTTCCATTTGCATAAAAGAGAATATGAGCAATGAAGCAAAATAGGACTGGTATGTAGTGGAAAAATTGGGAGTGGAAGGAACTTTGGAGCAGTGGCCAATAATGTAGCTCCTGATAAAAAATAGTACTGCTAGAACTTTTTATTTTTATTTTTTGTGGTTTGCTTCAACCATCGGGTCACTTTCTTCCATAAGTTTGGTCACTTTTTTCCATAAGTTTCGCATTCTTTTATTGGTTTTCTTTATCTTTTTTGTCCAAAGTGTATTGTGGAAGTCTCAGTAGCTTTACTGTGAGTGGTTTTGGTGGATGTTAGAGTAGTGGGTATTTAAATAGAATGAATGTCTCAGCATCATTTAGTGAAGTGGGTATTTGATGATCACATAGTTTTTTTTTTCTCCTAAAATACCTTTTTCTCTATTTATTTGTTCTCCTAAAATACCTTTTTCAAACCTTAGAATCATATCCTTCTATTTATTTTTGTTGTGAGTTGGCTGTTGCCTTTCTTGAATTGATCATGACGTGTTTGAAGCTTTTATTTCAACAATGTGATTCTGGCAGTGGAGTTTTGGTTTCAAATGTTGAGTTTTGGTTTCTTTTGTGAAACACTCACATCTTATTAGCATTTTTGGAGGAGTTTGATTATTTAAAGCTCCGTTTTTTTAATTTTGAAGGGACATTTGTCTATATCATTTTCGATGGTGATGATTATAGCTTAGATAGCTTTGACAAGACGTTTGATTCAGTTTACAATTCAATTTAATAACGAAATTGTACTGTTCAAAGTTGCAAGCTCATCCCATTTGAAATCCATTTCAGTGGCTCTGTAGCATCATCTCTTCCCGTTTCTCCCTCGCTCTCTCTTCAACGGATCACCATCAAGGTAATGCCACTTCTCTCTTGCTCTCTGTTTAAACCTCACCTATTTCAGCATCTTTTGTTTCAATAATCTTTACTCTAATTTGTGAATATCTTTTGTTTCAATAATCTTTAATTCCAGCAGGTTTGTTACTCAATAATATTGACAACAGGTTGTCTAATTTAATTGCTTTATTGATGTTTACAGTTTGTGATTGAAACATTGTGTCTAAAGCATTGTGGACTTCCTTAAGACCTTTCATATCGAAACATTGTGGTAAGAATTTGATTTGTGTTCTTACTTAAACATTGTCTCTATATATATTTTTTGTTTACTTTTCTATCTATTTGTCCACTTTATGTGTAGAAGTATATATTGGTTGACTTTACTACTGCATATATTTCTACTCATTTGCACCCTTTGCTAGGTTGGGGTAATGTGGCATATCTAAAAATTTTAGGATTTATTAATTTGTAAGAAAAATGGTAAGATTCATTAATATTTTCTTTTCATGTTGTTTGGAGTTAGATTGTGTTACCAATACCTAAAAATGTCCTCATATTAGACTGATTCATTATTTTTATTTAATGTTTGGAGTCAAATTATTATTTTAAAACTGTGTAGATGTGCAAATCTTTTGTTATATGTTAATTTTAATAAATAGATTCTTGGAAGCAAAGTACTAAGTGATTGATGTGTTTTATTGGTAGTTTCCGTTGGAAACATAATTCATTTTGATAAATTGTTTAATTTTAGTAAAATTTGGTGGCAGAAAATGATTGTTAGGTTATTAGTTTGGTGTCTGCATATCTATGTGATTTTTTATTAATTCGTTGAATGAGATATTTTATTCATGGAAAATGATTGGTAGGTTATTAGTTTGTAGTTCCATTTAAACCTCTTTTAGTTCAATAAAATCTAAGAAAGCTTAAGCCATCGATATGTTTGATTCCTAACAATAATGTAGGAGCCATCGATATGTTGATAGTAATAAACAGAATTGACATTTTTTTTGTGGTGTTTCTTTTGATAAATGTATATGAATGCGCACTAAATCTGAGCATGTTAATGAACAGATTTAAGCATCCATTTTATGTAGTTTTAATGCATATCGGAATGTATTATCAAATATGTAAAACAATTGTATGTATTTGTTTACATGTGGTATAATCATAATAAGTTGCAAGTCTTCCCATTTAATAACTTCTGCTGTGGGCAACTTATTTATGGCCTTAATTGGTTCCATATTAGTGTATCAATTTTATGTTTTTGGGCCAAAACTTGAAAATTGAACTGCAAGTCCACATGACATTTGGTTATATATGATTTGGGACAATGCAAATATTGAGAATGCAGATATCCCAAATATTGAATCAACTCTTTTATATATAGGTACGATTATGGTTACTTGATCTAAAATGGGTTTTGAAGATGGTTTTCAAGATGGTTTTGAAATGGGTTTTGAAGATGGTTTTGAAATGGGTTTTAAGATGGTTTTAATTTGTAAAAGAGTAAGGATTGAAGATGGTTTTCTTTTATTAAAAATGGTTAAAGCTGATTTTAGGATAAGTTTGGAATTTTTCAAAAAGATTTGTTGAAAAAAAAAAAGAGAAAAATAGTAAGGATTGGAGTACTCCTATCAAATTAAGTTTTTAACCAAGATTTCAATTGAATTTGATGAAAAAAGAAGAGTAAGGATTCGAAATATCATTTAGTTGTTGATGGATGGCAGATATTATTCTGAAGGGGAAGAAGAAAGTTGCAGATGGTATGCCAATTGCTACAGGTCATGAGCGTGAAGAACTTGAGGCCGAACTCGAGGTATCCTATTGTTTATTCAGTTCAATTCATGTGTCTGATACGTATATGTAATACCATATACATTTGATAGTTTGAGAGAGAATTGAATCTGAATTTAATCCGATTCTTTCATTTAGGGAAGAAATGTTCTGGAGATGAATTATCCAGTTGGACCTTTTGGCACCAAGGTTTGAATTATTGCACCTTTGCTGTGTACTGTGATTTCTACTTTACTTTGATTGTGCTTTCATTTGTATCCATTGAGTTTTGCTTTATTTATATGCATTTTGATCCCAATCTGATATGTTTGATCCCGATCTGATATTTATATGCACTGAGTTCTGCATTTATAAAATTAATTTGAAATGTTTGATTTCTCACATGGTTTTGATTTATGAAATAGGTTTGATTCTTTAATGGGAAATGGGTGCTGATTTTCTATGGTTTTAAAAAGCTTTTGATTTATAAAAAGATTTTCTATGGAACGAAGACTGAAGTGGGTCTTTCTGAGTAAAGAATTCTAATTTTACATAACGAAACAGAGGGTGTTTTTAAAATAAAATAAAAAAAATTGGAAATTGGAAGAAGAAAAGAAACATACATTTTTTGTGGGTTGAGAAAAGAATGGGTTGGTTTTTTGTATTAATTTTTTACTTTTTAGCTAATGTTTCAAATTTAACCAATATAGATAGGAGTTAAATTAATCTTTTATTTTTATTTTTATATATGATTATGGATGTATATATATCTATACATATGATTCCAATAAGCCATGTCTAACAAAACCTGTGCCAATTAATTAACAAACTGAAGTGGGTTTCTGCTTTCTAGGCAACCAAATAGAGGGCTTTTTTTTTATATATATAAAATGAAAAATTGGAAGAAGAAAATAAACATACCTTCTTCTGCCTCTTAGGGCATGTTTTTTGTGTTGAATGGGCTTATTTTTTGTATTAATTTTTGACTTTTTATCTAATGTTTCAAATTTAACCAATATAGATAGGAGTTAAATTATTCTTTCTTTTTTTTTTTCCTTTTCTCCTTGAATGACACTTAGGGCGTGTTTGATTAGCAATATTAGTGGTACTATTTTATTAACCTGTTAATCAAACAAGGCCTTAGTTCGAGTTTTATTTATTGCATAAAACACATGTTTATTAGTTTGTATAGCATTTTGATAACATTCGAATTTATTAGTTTGTATAGCATTTTGATAACATTTGAATTTTATTAGTTTGTAAAATTAATCTATTAGGAGTTAAATTAATCTATTATTAGTTTGAATTTTATTAATTTTATTAGGCGTTAAATTAAAAAAAAAATTTCCTTTTCTCCTTCAAGGACACTTAGGGCATGTTTGATTAATAGTATTAATGGTACTATTTTATTAACCTGTTAATCAAAGTGGTACTATTTTTATGAAATTATTTGTTGGCTTTTTGACTTTATGAAACAAAATCTTGAAATATTTGCTGTCTAAATATCTCAAAATAGAATGACTATGGAGGATCAATAGATGTATTCCATTCCACTGCATGATTTTCTGTGAGTTGGAGAGGCATTTGAGTGCGACAAGATGAAAAAAGAAGAAGAGAGAATGTGATAGTGCTATTCTTATATACAAAATATATTACCTTTCTTGGTAAAAAGTGTCACTGTTATATAGATTTTGATAACATTTGAATTTGATTTACAAATAATGGGGAAAATGGAAAACTGAGTTTTGATTTTTCTTTAGTATTTATATTTCTGTCTTTGGATACAAGTCTATAATTGTATTTTATGTACGTATGTATGTGATATTGTTTCTTTTATTAATTTTATTTTTTGTGGCTTTTTAAATAGAGAGAATGGGTTGATTTTATGTGTTAGTTTTTGGCTTTTTAGCTAATTTTCTTATTCACAAACAAATTTAACCAAAATAGATAGGAGTTAAATTAATCTTTGAAAATCCTAAGTGATTCGTGATTAGATCAGGATTTAAAAAAATTCAATTCCCAAATATTTAAAACACTCGATCTAAATCATCAAGCACTTACGAAAGTGATTTAGATTGTTGTTTTATGAATAATCAATAAATCGACACAAACGATTTTTATGTGGAAAAATCACAATTGAAGAACCTTCAATTGTAATCAAAAATTACAGGCGAAACGCCACTAATCAATCCACTACTGAAGAAAGAAAGATTACAAAGATAATACACAAATTACCCAACTCAGTCAATTTGCCTTCAAATCTTCTGTAACTCTTTCACCAAGCCTTCGTCTCGAAATTGATCCACCTAAAGTTGAATCCACAACTTCACTTGTCGAATTAACGACTACGTACAGAATCAAACGTCTTTTAAAACTCTACGTTTGAATCTTCGAAATCTACCGAAGAATAACACTCTTGAATGTATTCGATCAACCTCCTTGATGTATGTACCTTAGATCATGAGTGAAGAACTCTCTCAAAACATCAAGGAAAACTCACCAAAACTCTTCAGGAGAAAAACTTAGAAAACCTCAAAGTAGATCTGGAAAAGTAATCCTAGTCTTTGGAGAAAACCAACTACTTATAGAAATCCCGAATTCTGAAGCACACTCAAGCGAGGCTTCTCTCGCTCGAGCGAGAACCTTATCTCGCGTGATTCCCATAAGTGACTTCGCTCGAGCCACGAAATCTTCGCTCAAGCGAGAAATGAACTCTTTCAGGTTTTATGCAGACGCAGTTCTTTGCTCGAGCCACCTAGTCTTCGCTCGAGCGTACATTCAGCTCTTTCAGGTTTTAAGCCAGATGCAGTCCTTCGCTCGAGCGAGGAAGACAAAACAGTAAGAAAATTTTTCAACTCGATTAACAAAGTTATTCGTGGGGATTGACAAGAACAAGGGTCCTAACAATCTCCCTCTTTGTCAATACCCGGACAAAACTTTCTAAACACAATCTCCTAACCAAACAACCAAACTAAAAACCAGAAAAAGTAACAACTTGCAAACCAATCTTGAGGGACAAACATTCTGCACAAAAGTAACCAACCTGCACAACATCAACTGGAAAAAATTAATTATGCAACATAAAAACCATCAAGACAAAGACCAACTGCTGCCTGCAAAAATATATCATGAGTATCATATATATACATCAAAACATATCATAGACCCCTGCAAATTATATCCCATATACAGCAAAACATATTCCAAACTTATATACCCTGCAAAACATATGATATAAGCAAAACCTACTCCCCCTTTTTGTCCGGGAGTGACGCAAAAACAGGCAAAGACATTATAATAAAAAACTATCCAAAGTAAGAACAAAAACTGTCCAAGAGAAGCATATGCCAAAAGCTAAGAATGAGAAGATGGTGGCTGTTGTAACTGAAGAAGAGAAAGTATCTGAGCAAGCATGGCACTCTGCTCATCAAGGCGGCCATCAAAAGCATCAAGGCATGCATCCAAAAGATCAAGGCGACGTGTAACTGACTGCTCAAAGTGCTGTAGCTGGCCACGAAATGAGCGAGGACGCAGCTCGGGAAGATTAGGGGCACCGGCAGTGGTTGCCTCAAACTCCTCCTCCTCGGCAAGGGGATCATCATCACCTGCACCAGAACTCCCAACCCATGACACACCCCCCCTCACATGAGCCTGACTCTGGGAAACTGTGAGTTTGGTGATGGGTTTTATAGGATGTGCAAACTCATCGTCATCAAAAACAGGAATATCAAGAGAAGTGAGAAACCGAGTAAGCAGACACCCATAAGGAAGCCCCAAAGACTTTCGACCCTCAAAGACCCCAATCATTTTAGAAACAATCATCTCTAGAAGATCAATTGGAAGTCTATGATGAATACAATACAACACATGTCCTTGGTTCTGGGAAATGTGCGAGGAATGGGTGGTGACATAAAGATTCGCACACACAATGATATTCAAAAGACGGAACCGAGGAAGCAACTCATTTTGCTGAATGAGTGCCCCAGCAAGCCAAGTCCGGTCAACTCCACATAATTCAGATGCAACATCAAAATCAACACCTGACCGAGTAAGAAACGAAAAATGACAATTACTAACTTCAGGAAGATCAAGAAAAAGCCGAAACACATCCCCAGTGATAACAAGTGACTGCTTCCTAAGTCAAGTCTTAAAGGATGCCGGGAGTTCTTTCCGAATGGAATGGATATTGCAATAGAATTCCTGGATGAGACTCAAATTTTGTGGACCTGAAAAATGCAACACTTGATCTCTTCCTAACGAATCAAATAAAGACCAAATGGGAAGAACCTCAAAGGCATTTGGGAGGATATTGCGCTCTAAATGGACTTTACGAGACGCAAACGACTCCCTAAACAACTTAGCCTTTTCTTTTGACTCAAACTTATTAGTGTTGAAAGGGGGACGGGAAACAGTGGTCTTGCAACGTTTAGACGACTCAGCCATGACTAAACAAAACACACAGAAACAAGACAAACACAGAACCCAGACAGACAAGGAACACCCAATAAACAACATCAGAAAACCCCCAAAACAAAACACAAGTAGCCAATCAAAACACATTAGTCCAATAGGGGTTAGAAAAGCAGTTAAACTCATAGCATTAGCATAATAGAAATGAAATGATTAGCAGTGCTAGAGAGACAACAATCAGCCACAGAGAAAACAATATATTAAAGCCATTAATAAATGAAAACATCAATGTATGGGAACAATGTATGAAAACCATGGACAGTATGAGAAGAGAGTCAATCAGCAAGTGATTCTCACAGGGCAATAGAAAATAAAAAATAAACTAAAGAAAAGCCCCAAATTAAACCCTAACAACATCCGAACTAAATGCAAAGTACAAGATGCAAACCATGAACCCTAGATGCAAGAGTCAAACTCTAGAACAAGATGTACTTAACCAAAAGCAACAATGTTGAACCCTAGAGAATAACAGAGCAAAGGCACAATCCCATTAAAATCGGAGAAATAAAAACAAAGAAAAAAAAACTTACCAAACACTGAAACAGCAGATGAAGGAAAGGAAAAT